TACAAAAAATACATCTTTGGAAACAATATTTTGTACACATTATTTATTTTCAAACATAAATATTAAATTAGCCTAATTCTAAACTATAGTAGGAAATTTCATATAACTAATACTAAACAGTTTTATGTCGTTCTTTTTGTGTTTTGCAACAATACTTAAGTTTAGCCCATATACCTTGACACATGTTTTGTAAGCGAATATCATTGTGATCAATGGAAAATTTATAAATATTCCTTATTATTTTTCTTGGTATTTTAAACTGGTCTTGCTGAATTAAACTTAAAGCAGCATATAGTTTACAACGGGCGACCAAAAGAGGATCTCCAAGACAAAGTGCTAATTGAAATTGCTTTACAGAAATTTGTCCTGCCTTTTCAGCCTGCATAAAAGAATGTTGTTTTAATGTATGATGTAAAAAATATAACTTAATAAATGGATATAACATACACAATGATAAAATTCTTCTCCTAAAGCAGAAAATGCTCCACCTAAAGTAGATAACCAAGACATAGCATGATCAGCTTCTCTCCTTTCCATTACTATCTTTATTATCCTTTCATTCCTGAAATTGAAAAATTATACTTTATTATATATGATTTTATGATGAATAGTGCAAAAAGATGATAATTTAACGATTAATTGAATCCTTACCATTTATAATCTAGAAACTGTTTTTTTGGTGTTCGTAATTTCATTAAGATTATTTCTAAATTTCTTTCATCTGATGATTTGTATGTTAAATACTGTAACAATTTTTTAAGTGCAGCTCTTCGATATGTTTGTGACCTTATTAATGTTACAATATATGCTGACAAAAGATAGGCATTATATCCTTTCTTATTTACACAAATTTGATTTATTTGTTTTACATTATTTTCATTGACTGTGCTTATGTTAACATTTATTTGATTTGTATTTCTCGTTTCTTTTACCTTTTTTTCGTATTTAATAACAGAAAAAGGTGTAATAATAACATTGTCATAAACAGTTTTGCCTCTATGTATAATTAATTTGACCGAATTATCCATTTTTTTTAATTTAACAAAATAAATGATATTCTTAATATATATGGCAATGTTACTTTGTTATATGTAGGCACATAACTACACAACGATATAAATAATACATATTAAAAATTTATATCACAAATACTCTTTTCACAAATGCTATATCACTTTATAAATATTGGCTATAAAATTTATACAATAAAATCAACGATGGTATATAATTTGTAATAGAATTATACGAATTTTTACTTTTAAGTAAGAAGTGCATTATTTTTAATATTTCCAAGACATTGTTTGATATCTTGTTTGCTACGCAAACGTTTCAGTTGACAATATGAGGTTAGAAATTTAATTGATTGTACGCATGGTGTATATTATAAAGAATGGTGGGGATAGTAACGTGATAATCATGCATGGTACTTATTAAAGTTAAAATAGAAGCATTTTACATTTTATGCTTGATTTTAATATTCAAATAATTTCTGCATATTTTACAATTTTGTATTTAACAATTTAATAAAATGTGAATTTTTTTTAAATTACATATTATTTAGTAAAAATATTTAAAAAATATAATATTTATTTACATTAATTTTAAACATG